GCCACGAAATATCTCTTTTCAAAGTAAAGTTGTCATCTCTAGTTGCGATATTTTTTACCTTGATAATCTTACTTATAGATTAACTTTGAGGTGTATATAGTTATTGTTGACACGTTTATTTGTGCTTTCGTAACGTCTTTCGCTTCGATCGCTTAGCGTTCATTATTTTACAGAAAAGTGCACCATAGACTTTGTACATGGAGGATAGTTGTGAGTCTTTTACTCATGTATGTGGCCTTCTAATGGGTCGAAACTCTTTACGCTTCAGAATGTCATAAACTGTTAAAGCCAGTGGTTCAGTAATAATTGCCATTGTTGGTACTTTCGATTGAAATCAAGTGGTGATTATTATGCTCTTACTCGGCATTCAATGAATATATATGAGATGGGCTATGGACCACCGAAACTACGAAACAAAATTTTGCAATAATTTTCTTGTTTTTCTCACAAGGCACTTGAATAAAAAAATTATGGAAGAGATGGTTGAGGTCTCTGTACTTTAGCGGACAATCTAGATTTCGTCATATACAGTTGTCAAAGTTGTTAAGAGATATCCAATCGGTGTCCAAACAGAGGCGCATTGTCTACGGATTGGCCGATTGGAGAGGCTGGCAAGATGACGCAACTGGCCATGTAGCGCAAAACAGTTTCAAGGCGCGTGCAGAGCAATTCCATTGGATGGCCAAAGCTGACTGGTAATGTTTTAACATCCAGGATTATCCACTGTCGTGGCACAACTTACTCTACCGATGCGACATTTATTTTCTTAGCATTCGAAATAAAATATACCCCTATTCTTCAAGTCAAAGATAAGGGCTAAACTATCAGTCGCATATGATTAAGGTTTGTCCTGTCCTAACAGCGTCATACCTATATTAATTTTTAGTTGAGCTGCTTTCCCACAGCAGTTTTTGTTTTTGTCATCGAGTAACTCCGAGCTAAATGCTTACAACATTTGCTATTATTCAGTAGTTTACCAACTCCAACACCTCATGAACATCAAAGCCTTTCACTTTTCGCGGCCATTCAGCCGTTTAAGCAAAGCCAAAATACGTTGTTCGTTTTCGAGTTTACAATCAGATATCAGGAAGTCTAGTTTTACTCTACTACCCAGCTGCTTTAATTGTGAATGCCTTACTTTATCAGAAGATTTCAAGGCCCGAATTCCTAATTTCTGGGGTTAAACACTAAAACAAGTGCCGACGTTTTCGATTGCTTAGGTGTATTTACGCAGGTCTACATGGCCAGTGCGTGCGGAAGTCATTTGTAGCGTGATTAAAATGAATCAAGTTTTGAACACGATAGATCTGCTCTGCCAGGATTCCACTGGACCTTTCCTCATAAAGACTAACCGCGGATTTCTTGGAGTTCACATGGTCTAAAGCTAATGCACTTTTCTAGGAAAAAGGCCGGAGATTCAAAGCTATTTGGTTTCTATTCGCAATCATGCATGCTAATTATGTTCTTTCGGTTCAAGAAAGTGTACCTTAGGCATAAAGCGGCCTCATTTTTTGCATAAAATGATAAGTGGTGGGAAAGTAAGTGAATCTACTGGTTGAATGACTAACCTTTAAATGTGCATTTATATAGTTGCTCTTAAATAGTGCAGTTGCCTAGAGGGCGGTCAATTCAAAATTGGGCCCCACTTCACGTCCGTTATGCAGGAAGTTTGAGTGCCATAGGTCCAACTATTTAGCTGATGTACAATAGTCTACACATGAGGGCTGAACGTAATGCAACCGCAAACCTATTCTACTTTTCTAAAGAATAAAAGCAAACGAAGTTCCAAGTAATTGTACTGCTACTTTGGAGATGAGCGCTTGAACGGCGCATTTAAACGTATCGAAGTGGACGGACATTGGAAAATGTCAATTGATAAGGCTGATCACACACTTGGAAAACGTACTCACTTAAAGCTTAAAAATGAATGCATGCGAAGTTAAACATTGTACGTCTTACTAACCATAAGTTATGGAGAAAATGAGTCATTTAAAGTACTCACCTGTTGGATGGTTCTTCTTCCTCGTTCATCATTATCATAGGTTTCAAACATGAGATCGCAAAATGTAAATTTCATTGCATTGTCATCTAACCGTTCTCATCTTGGTTTCCTGAAAAAATGCGGTCTTCTAAACCCCAACTTACAAAATCTGCGCAGTTTTGTGACTTTAAACGCGTTCTTAAAATTGTCGCATATCGTAGACGCATTTCCGTTTGTAGGGGGTCAAATGTGTGCTGAAACTTCACATCCACCTTGGTTCCAACACTTGAGTGTGTAACTGCATGATTATTTCAATGTGGCTTTAGTATTACTGGAAGACAGAAGTAAGCTAATTGCGGAAATTGTAGTCTAAGGTGAATCGCAGTTCACAAGGTGAAATTGTTGCAAAGGTTTTTCAGTTCAAGCCGTTTTGGGTCTCAAAGTTCACGTCCCGTCTTAAATTGTGTCGGTTGAAATACACGAGCTGTGGTCTGTGGTTAGAGGGACAACCATGGTGGCACCTTGGCCTTAGGGGAAGGGCGCTCACCTTCAAGCTCCCCTTAACCACGAAACTCAACTTATTTTTACCTGATTTCACTCCCAGCCTATGATTTCATAAGTCTGCGCAACCTTTCACAATCAGCGACAGTTGGTCAAACTTTAAATTTTATTTAAACCAGTTTGCTATAAACTGGATCACATTTTGTCTCCTGAATCGTAAGGACTAAGAAAATTTAAAATGCAAATTTCGACCGCCAGGGTCCTGTATGCTAATACAGTCTCATCACATGTGGATGGCATGCACTAGTTGAATGAGGGTTGGATTAGCATATGGGCCTCGCCAACATCAAATCTTGCCAGCGGCGCATGTTCATGCTTGCATGTTTCCGACGCCCCCGCATGGGGATCAAGGCCATGAGCTCTTTGTGTGATATTTGTGGGTTGATCTTGTGCCCAACTAATTTTGGTTAGCCGAAATCAACCTCCATTTAGCCACATTTCCCATTTTCTCCCAAATCGTATTTATTTATTTATTTTTTCTCCTCTTTCCGCTGCCTGATACAAGAGGACTGGGATACGGTGGAGACTTGCCTGTTCGTTATTGCTACTGTAATTTCAAGGAGGAAACTTTGGTTGTTTATTCGCCCCTTCTTATCTACGCCATTTTCTAGTGCGTGATGCAATAAGACCAAACATACCAAAATTGTTGTGCGAGAAAGCAGTCCATAATGGCTGAGAAGTTTGAGAATGACCCAACATGATGACCTACTTTATGCATGCCAGGTTATTCTGTGCCTACAAAAGCTCACTAGAACCCGGTTAATGTGTACACGATTAAGTGCGGCACCGAGAGCAGAACAATTTGGAAGGTTAGCGCTAATGAATGCGTTAAAGGAATGTGTTGGGAGGGGGGGGGCGGAGAGGGTACAGCAATAAAGTACCAGTTACATGATTGACAGTTTCAACATATTTCGCTATGGTTTGGAAACACAATGACTTGGCTTAATGCCACCATCTAAATTCATCTAGTAGAAGATGCTTGCTCTTAGAGAGTGGATTAGCAGGCAAAAGAGTAATGATGAATCCACGTTACCACTTTATCACAAAATTCTTGCTCTACAGTGTGGTGGACCTATTATTTAGTGATTGTTATAAGGAAACTTTATATCGACTGTGTGACATTCAGTCCAGCTCATTTAAGAAACGCACGTTGTCAATCTTAAGACTAGCTATGCACTCCTTTCATTGTTTCTGCGTAGTGTACACTGAGGGTAGAGGTCATCACTTGACTGAAAAGTCATCCTTTTTCTTTTCATTCGGTGAGATGGTCAAGGTGAGGGAGGGAAGGGAGATGTGAGACACTGCAGTCCTTAGTCCATTTTAATCATAAAGATCATCTCCTCCCATGGTCCTCAAAAATTGTAACCAAGTCCAAATGAATTTGTTGTTGGTCCTCTCTAAGGTGTCAAAGTAGAGACGAGTAGCAGTGACGCCGGCAAGATTGCTACTACTATGCCTTCAGTCTGAAGCCGATGGACGCCAATG